TGTCTTAGTCTACAGACAGGGTAGAACTAGAATGGAAATGTCGTCTTTTGCTGACAATGTCTGAGTCCACAGACAGGGTAGAACTAGAACAGAAATGTCGTCCTTTGCTGACAATGTCTCAGTCTACAGACAGGGTCAAACTAGAATAGAAATGTCGTCTTTTGCTGACAATGTCTGAGTCCACAGACAGGGTAGAACTAGAATGGAAATGTCGTCTTTTGCTGACAATGTCTTAGTCTACAGACAGGGTAGAACTAGAATAGAAATGTCGTCTTTTGCTGACAATGTCTTAGTCTACAGACAGGGTAGAACTAGAATAGAAATGTCGTCTTTTGCTGACAATGTCTTAGTCTACAGACAGGGTAGAACAAGAATAGAAATGTCGTCTTTTGCTGACAATGTCTTAGTCTACAGACAGGGTAGAACTAGAATAGAAATGTCGTCCTTTGCTGACAATTTCTGAGTCCACAGACAGGGTAGAACTAGAATGGAAATGTCGTCTTTTGCTGACAATGTCTGAGTCTTCAGACAGGGTAGAACTAGAATAGAAATGTCGTCTTTTGCTGACAATGTCTCAGTCTACAGACAGGGAAGAACTAGAATAGAAATGTCGTCTTTTGCTGACAATGTCGTAGTCTACAGACAGGGTAGAACTAGAATAGAAATGTCGTCTTTTGCTGACAATGTCTTAGTCTACAGACAGGGTAGAACTAGAATGGAAATGTCGTCTTTTGCTGACAATGTCTCAGTCTACAGACAGGGAAGAACTAGAATAGAAATGTCGTCTTTTGCTGACAATGTCTTAGTCTACAGACAGGGTAGAACTAGAATAGAAATGTCGTCTTTTGCTGACAATGTCTCAGTCTACAGACAGGGTAGAACTAGAATGGAAATGTCGTCTTTTGCTGACAATGTCTGAGTCTTCAGACAGGGTAGAACTAGAACAGAAATGTCGTCAGAACTGTAGACGGCGGTAGACAAGGTAGGCGAGTGATGAGAGGAAACAGGTTCTATCATCAACCAAAGATAAAGCAGCGGTATTGTGCAGTTTTCGTTGTTTAAACAATAGAACTGCTAGAGACGAGGCGCAGGCAAGGTGAAATGTTCAAGTACTTGGGTACCATAATAACATCAGAAGGAAGATGTATTAAAGAAGTTTCATGTCGAATAGCTCAAGCAAAGGCAGCATTTTACAAAATGAAGAAAATTTTATGCAATTTTTCTTTGTCAGTTGAGACGAGAAAGCGAATTCTTAAAAGCTAAATCAATTCTATATTGATATACGGATGTGAAACACGGACAGTTACTAAAATAGAGACCACTGATTTGGAAGCTGTGGATATGTGGCTTGATAGACTCATGATGAGAATACCCTGGACAGATCAAGAGAGTCATGAAGACTTGAAATAAACTGACTCACGTAGAAAACTGATTGCCCACATCAGAAAGAGACAATCTACATTCTTTGGTCGTGAGATGAGAAGGAGACAACTGGAGTAAATCGTGACAGTAAGGAAGCTGGAGGGGAGGAGAGGTAGAGAGAGACCAAGGTGTTGGTCAGTTTGACATCATGGGATGCAGGATCACCTGTGTCAGAGCTGACTGAAAGTACACGAGACAGAAGGTTGTGGATAGACATAACTACCAAACCCACACGGCATGGAGGATCATCTGTGTCAGAGCTGACTGAAAGTACACGAGGCAGAAGGTTGTGGATAGACATAACTACCAAACCCACACGGCATGGAGGATCATCTGTGTCAGTGTTGATTAGAAGTACACAAGACAGAAGGTTGTGGATAGACATAACTACCAAACCCACACGGCATGGAGGATCATCTGTGTCAGAGCTGACTGAAAGTACACGAGACAAAAGGTTTTGGATAGACACAACTACCAAAGCCACACGGCAGGGTCTGTAAGAAAAGCAGAAGAGACGGGGTTCTGAACATCACAACAAATGGCGGTAACACGAAGTGAGAACTCACTCAAATATCTAGGAATGATACCACAGCAACCTGACTTTGAAATACAGTATGGAAGAGGACCAACATGGTGAATACCAGCATGATCACTAACACTGCGACAAGTTGTATGTTTCTAGCCATGTGTTTGGTGATGTAAAATCTCCATTTCTGGACCAGGAGTCCAAAGGTTCCATGGCCCAGCTACTGAACTAAATGCTTGATGCGACTCTGTGAGCTGTAGATTTCGAGTGCAATGTTTTTCCCACTGTTGTGCCCATGACCGCCTCGTGTTGTCAACTGCATTTGCAGCTGACTGATTACGTCGGAGGATTAACAGCTGGAATTACTGATGTGAAAAAGACTCAATGCGTTGAAAGTGACGGCACCAACGAACACGGCACCAGAACGAACAAGAGTCTAGACTACCAATAAAAGGATCACTACAGTCATGGAATATGGTTTGGAACTACTCACAGAAAAGATGGAACGCACACCCTCACAGAAAAGATGGAACACACACAAAATCAAGACCAGCCAGTGTTCTTGTTATTTGATCACAAGCGACGTAATTGCATGTTGGGCATTCCCATGCGTGCTAAGTCCTCCAACACAGCAGCCCTGATTTCATGAGAAGCTGGTTATAATAATGTCTCCCATCTAGACCTCGAAGGTGGCATAGAAGTGCCTCATCATGCTTTACTTCCAGGTATGCAATCATGTTAGCGTCAGACATACAGTGTATGTAGAGGTGCGGGGACAAATTCTCACAATTATGTGACAACTGAGACACGATATACTGCAAACCTGCAAACACACACATACACACCATCAAGCACACAAGTCAGAGACTGCAGGACATTCTTCTATTTCAGAAGGGGTAATAATAAACATCAATGAAAGAATCTCATCAACAAAATCCAACACACACTACGTGACAAATGTCCATCTGTGTGACAATCTGCTGCACAAAATGATTACAACAAAAATACATAAACTATGTCAACCAGAGATGAGTGAGGTGTCTATTTTGCCTGCTGACTTGGCTGTCATGGGATCAAAGCCTCTGTAAGCCAGAATATTTTCAGAAACACACAACTACAGCTGGGCCAAGCCACAGGAAACGGATGAAAATGATCTTGAAGGTAAAGTTGCCAGCCTGATGCTCTACCCACCTCTTCCAGCTATTGCTCGCAGTGTCAGCTGTGGCTGGCTATGGAATCGGTAGTTATGTTATACAGACATGCAGTCTCACTTCGATTTCTTGGAAGAATCTCCTGACCAGGTCAGACAAGACTACACCAACAGGTGAGTCCTTGTTGTCAGGGTTAGGACTGAGGCTGCCTTTACTTGTGACAACGGCAAGCAGGGAAGACATGTGTGATTGGCTGATAAACACACCTGTCAGACTGTCAACTATCAGGCTGATTGTCGGGTAAGGTATGCAGTATTGAACTTCACTTGCCCACCTGCCACATGATGATGATAATACGATGACAGCTACTGAGAGTGTCAGCACACAAGTATAGTGTTAATGATGTTCGTTAATCAGTCAATGCACAGAATGTCACCGAGTGATAGAAACAGGTGACCTGGAAACAAGACATCAACTTTAGTGACAGCCAAGTCTTGAATGTTGGAACTTTGTGTCGTTATCAAACAGATGATGAAAACTTATAAACAAAAAACAGAAACAGCAAACAATAAAGTGTCAACATCACAAAAATGTAACTGGCAACACAGGAACAAAACCAACCATAAAGAGATTATAGTTTTACAGACAATGATAAATGCTGAAAGAAGGCTATTGGGGAAGGGGGGGGGGGGAGTGAAAGGCTGATGAAGCTTTACAGGTAATGATGAATACTGATAGAGAGGGGGGAGGGGGAGGGGGGGGGGTGAAATGCTGATAGCTGATAGCTTTACAGGTAATGATGAATACTGATAGAGAGGGGGGGGGGGGGAGGGGGGGGGGTGAAATGCTGATAGCTGATAGCTTTACAGGTAATGATGAATACTGATAGAGAGGGGGGGGAGGGGGGGGGTGAAATGCTGATAGCTGATAGCTTTACAGGTAATGATGAATACTGATAGAGAGGGGGGAGGGGGAGGGGGGGGTGAAATGCTGATAGCTGATAGCTTTACAGGTAATGATGAATACTGATAGAGAGGGGGAGGGGGAGGGGGGGGGTGAAATGCTGATAGCTGATAGCTTTACAGGTAATGATGAATACTGATAGAGAGGGGGAGGGGGAGGGGGGGGTGAAATGCTGATAGCTGATAGCTTTACAGGTAATGATGAATACTGATAGAGAGTTGGGGGGGGGGGGGGTGAAATGCTGACAGCTGATAGCTTTACAGGTAATGATGAATACTGATAGAGAGTTGGGGGGGGGGAAGTGAAATGCTGACAGCTGATAGCTTTACAGGTAATGATGAATACTGATAGAGAGTTGGGGGGAGGTGGGGGGGGGTGTGGAGTGAAATGCTGATAGCTTTAGAGGTAATGATGAATGCTGATAGAGGGTTGGGGGGGGGGGGGGGGTGGTGGAGTGAAATGCTGATAGCTGATAGCTTTAGAGGTAATGATGAATGCTGATAGAGGGTTGGGTAGAGAGAAAAAAAGGTGGGGGGGGGGGGAGTAATGATGAATGCTGAAAGCTTTAGAGGTAATGATGAATGCTGATAGAAGAGGACAGTGAACACAATGAAAGCGTACATAAGAACAAGGCAAAAGCCTTACAGCAGTAGTGCAACAACCAATGAGCTGGAGGCAAGACTGTAAGGGTGCCCAGCTAGTGGAGGGAGACACCACATGGTATCTTCTGCAGGACACATCAGAGACAACCATCAATCATAACTGGGACAGTCTCATGAAGTTAGGTCTAGGGAATTCCCCGTGTATGTTGCTGGCAGCCTGTCATTAGAAGGGTGCTTTCAATGATCCCACTCATGCACAGACATCTAAGACTGTCTCATTATGGTATAGATGTCTAAGACTACCCTGATTAGGTGGAGCTGTAAGACCAAGACGTTCTACTCACTCTTGTGCAGATGAATTGGTCTTGGCACTGATCTGATGTGTGACAGACAAGGAAAAATATTCTAAGTGATCAGTTCAATCTGTGAATCTTGAAGTATATTTCTGAATAATATAATCCATTAACAAAAATTATCTTTAGTTATAAAGATGTGTTTCCTGTACTAAGGAGATGCCTGCAGGGCAAACAAATAAGTATATTTTCGCTGAGAACACAGATACTCTACTAAGAAGTACTGGCTTAATGTTATTTTAAGTTAGGATAGGCGCAGACGCAACAGTACTATACTGTCACTATATAGTAGGTGGGTGTGCTATACTGTCACTAGATAGTAGGTGGATGTGCTATACTGTCACTAGATAGTAGGTGGGTGTGTTATACTGTCACTAGATAGTAGGTGGATGTGCTATACTGTCACTAGATAGTAGGTGGATGTGTTATACTGTCACTATATAGTAGGTGGATGTGCTATACTGTCACTAGATAGTAGGTGGGTGTGTTATACTGTCACTAGATAGTAAGTGGATGTGCTATACTGTCACTATATAGTAGGTGGATGTGCTATACTGTCACTAGATAGTAGGTGGGTGTGTTATACTGTCACTATATAGTAGGTGGATGTGTTATACTGTCACTAGATAGTAGGTGGATGTGCTATACTGTCACTAGATAGTAGGTGGATGTGCTATACTGTCACTAGATAGTAGGTGGGTGCGTTATACTGTCACTAGATAGTAGGTGGATGTGCTATACTGTCACTAGATAGTAGGTGGGTGTGTTATACTGTAACTAGATAGTAGGTGGATGTGTTATACTGTCACTAGATAGTAGGTGGATGTGTTATACTGTCACTATATAGTAGGTGGATATGCTATACTGTCACTAGATAGTAGGTGGATGTGTTATACTGTCACTATATAGTAGGTGGATGTGCTATACTGTCACTAGATAGTAGGTGGATGTGTTATACTGTCACTATATAGTAGGTGGATGTGTTATACTGTCACTAGATAGTAGGTGGATGTGTTATACTGTCACTATATAGTAGGTGGATGTGCTATACTGTCACTATATAGTAGGTGGATGTGTTATACTGTCACTAGATAGTAGGTGGATGTGCTATACTGTCACTATATAGTAGGTGGATGTGTTATACTGTCACTAGATAGTAGGTGGATGTGTTATACTGTCACTAGATAGTAGGTGGATGTGTTATACTGTCACTAGATAGTGGGTGGATGTGCTATATTGTCACTAGATAGTAGGTGGGTGTGTTATACTGTCACTAGATAGTAGGTGGGTGTGTTATACTGTCACTAGATAGTAGGTGGATGTGTTATACTGTCACTAGATAGTAGGTGGATGTGCTATACTGTCACTAGATAGTAGGTGGATGTGTTATACTGTCACTATATAGTAGGTGGATGTGCTATACTGTCACTAGATAGTAGGTGGATGTGTTATACTGTCACTATATAGTAGGTGGATGTGCTATACTGTCACTAGATAGTAGGTGGATGTGTTATACTGTCACTATATAGTAGGTGGATGTGTTATACTGTCACTAGATAGTAGGTGGATGTGTTATACTGTCACTATATAGTAGGTGGATGTGCTATACCGTCACTATATAGTAGGTGGATGTGCTATACTGTCACTAGATAGTAGGTGGATGTGCTATACTGTCACTATATAGTAGGTGGATGTACTATACTGTCACTAGATAGTAGGTGAATGTTCTATACTGTCACTAGATAGTAGTTGGATGTGTTATACTGTCTTTAGATAGTAGGTGGGTGTGCTATACTGTCACTATATAGTAGGTGGATGTGCTATACTGTCACTAGATAGTAGGTGGATGTGCTATACTGTCACTAGATAGTAGGTAGATGTTCTATACTGTCACTATATAGTAGGTGGATGTGCTATACTGTCACTAGATAGTAGGTTAATGTGCTATACTGTCACTAGATAGTAGGTGGGTGTGGTATACTGTCACTAGATAGTAGGTGGATGTGTTATACTGTCACTAGATAGTAGGTTGATGTTCTATACTGTCACTAGATAGTAGGTGGATGTGTTATACTGTCACTAGATAGTAGGTGGATGTGTTATACTGTCACTAGATAGTAGGTGGATGTTCTATACTGTCACTAGATAGTAGGTGGATGTGTTATACTGTCACTAGATAGTAGGTGGATGTGTTATACTGTCACTAGATAGTAGGTGGATGTGTTATACTGTCACTAGATAGTAGGTGGATGTGTTATACTGTCACTAGATAGTAGGTGGATGTGTTATACTGTCACTAGATAGTAGGTGGATGTGTTATACTGTCACTAGATAGTAGATGGATATGATATACTGTCACTAGATAGTAGGTGGATGTGTTATACTGTCAAGGTCACCAGACAGTAAGTGGGAGTGCTAGACTGTCGCTGTCATCAGACAATAAGTGGATGTACCACACTCTCACTGTCATCAGACAATAAGTGGATGTACCATACTCTCACTGTCACCAGACAATAAGTGGACGTACCATACTCTCACTGTCACCAGACAATAAGTGGATGTACCATACTCTCACTGTCACCAGACAATAAGTGGATGTACCACACTCTCACTGTAACCAGACAATAAGTGGATGTACCACACTCTCACTGTCACCAGACAATAAGTGGATGTACCATACTCTCACTGTCACCAAAATATAAGTGGATGTACCACACTCTCACTGTCACCAGACAATAAGTGGATGTACAACACTCTCACTGTCACCAGACAATAAGTGGATGTACCATACTCTCACTGTCACCAGACAATAAGTGGATGTACCACACTCTCACTGTCACCAGACAATAAGTGGATGTACCACACTCTCACTGTCACCAGACAATAAGTGGATGTACCACACTCTCACTGTCACCAGTCAATAAGTGGATGTACCACACTCTCACTGTCACCAGACAATAAGTGGATGTATCACACTCTCACTGTCACCAGACAATAAGTGGATGTACCACACTCTCACTGTTACCAGACAATAAGTGGATGTACCACACTCTCACTGTCACTAGTCAGTAGGTGGGAGTGAGATGTTCCATTTTCCCTGCAGTAGCAAATGATTTGAGTCAAGATCCACACACACACACACACACACAATTAAAATAGTCAGTAAAAAAGGAAAGGTTAGGTTAAGAGGTCAGTGACTTACATTGGTGTCAGGGAGGCATTCTTGCTGTCAACACTGCAAGGTGTGTACACCGAACCACCAGCAATTGTCCCTGGCAGGTGAGATAAAACATGACACAACTGTCAGCACTAGGTCACTGTTGGCAGTGATAGACAGACACAACTGTGAGCAAACAGTCAATGTTGGCAGTGACAGACAGATACAGCTGTGAGCATGGAGTCAATGTTGGCAGTGATAGACAGACACAACTGTGAGCAAACAGTCAATGTTGGCAGTGATAGACAGACACAACTGTGAGCAAACAGTCAATGTTGGCAGTGATAGACAGATACAACTGTGAGCAAATAGTCAATGTTGGCAGTGATAGACAGATACAGCTGTGAGCAAACAGTCAATGTTGGCAGTGATAGACAGATACAGCTGTGAGCAAACAGTCAATGTTGGCAGTGATAGACAGATACAGCTGTGAGCAAACAGTCAATGTTGGCAGTGATAGACAGATACATCTGTGAGCAAACAGTCAATGTTGGCAGTGACGGACAGACACAACTGTGAGCATGGAGTCAATGTTGTCAGTGACAGACAGATACATCTGTGAGCATGGAGTCAATGTTGGCAGTGATAGACAGATACATCTGTGAGCATGGAGTCAATGTTGGCAGTGACAGACAGATACAGCTGTGAGCATGGAGTCAATGTTGGCAGTGATAGACAGATACATCTGTGAGCAAACAGTCAATGTTGGCAGTGACGGACAGACACAGCTGTGAGCATGGAGTCAATGTTGGCTGTGACAGACAGACACAGCTGTAAGCATGTAGTCAATGTTGGCAGTGACAGACAGATACATCTGTGAGCATGGAGTCAATGTTGGCTGTGACAGACACAACTGTGAGCATGGAGTCAATGTTGGCAGTGACAGACAGACACAGCTGTGAGCATGGAGTCAATGTTGGCAGTGACGGACAGACACAGCTGTGAGCATGGAGTCAATGTTGGCTGTGACAGACAGACACAGCTGTAAGCATGTAGTCAATGTTGGCAGTGACAGACAGATACATCTGTGAGCATGGAGTCAATGTTGGCTGTGACAGACAGATACATCTGTGAGCATGGAGTCACTGTTGGCAGTGACAGACAGATACAGCTGTGAGCATGGAGTCACTGTTGGCAGTGACAGACAGACACAACTGTGAGCATGGAGTCAATGTTGGCAGTGACAGACAGACACAGCTGCGAGCATGGAGTCAATGTTGGCAGTGACAGACAGATACAGCTGTAAGCATGGAGTCAATGTTGGCAGTGACAGACAGACACAGCTGTAAGCATGGAGTCAATGTTGGCAGTGATAGACAGATACAGCTGTAAGCATGGAGTCAATGTTGGCAGTGATAGACAGCCACAGCTGTGAGCATGGAGTCAATGTTGGCAGTGACAGACAGATACAGCTGTGAGCATGGAGTCAATGTTGGCAGTGATAGACAGATACAGCTGTGAGCATGGAGTCAATGTTGGCAGTGACAGACAGACACAGCTGTGAGCATGGAGTCAATGTTAGCAGTGACAGACAGATACAGCTGTAACCATGGAGTAACTGTTGGCAGTGACAGACAGACACAGCTGTGAGCATGGAGTCAATGTTGGCAGTGATAGACAGACACAGCTGTGAGCATGGAGTCAATGTTGGCAGTGATAGACAGACACAGCTGTGAGCATGGAGTCAATGTTGGCAGTGACAGACAGACACAGCTGTAAGCATGGAGTCAATGTTGGCAGTGATAGACAGATACAGCTGTAAGCATGGAGTCAATGTTGGCAGTGACGGACAGACACAACTGTAAGCAAACAGTCAATGTTGGCAGTGACAGACAGACACAGCTGTGAGCATGGAGTCAATGTTGGCAGTGATAGACACAGCTGTGAGCATGGAGTCAATGTTGGCAGTGACAGACAGATACAACTGTGAGCATGGAGTCAATGTTGGCAGTGACAGACAGACACAACTGTAAGCATGGAGTCAATGTTGGCAGTGACAGACAGACACAGCTGTGAGCATGGAGTCAATGTTGGCAGTGACAGACAGATACAGCTGTGAGCATGGAGTCAATGTTAGCAGTGACAGACAGATACAGCTGTAAGCATGGAGTTAATGTTGGCAGTGACAGATAGAAACAGCTGTGAGCATGGAGTCAATGTTGGCAGTGACAGACAGATACAGCTGTAAGCATGGAGTCAATGTTGGCAGTGACTGACAGATACAGCTGTAAGCATGGAGTCAATGTTGGCAGTGACAGACAGACACAGCTGTAAGCATGGAGTCAATGTTGGCAGTGACAGACAGATACAGCTGTGAGCAAACAGTCAATGTTGGCAGTGATAGACAGCCACAGCTGTGAGCATGGAGTCAATGTTGGCAGTGACAGACAGATACAGCTGTAAGCATGGAGTCAATGTTGGCAGTGACAGACAGATACAGCTGTGAGCATGGAGTCAATGTTGGCAGTGACAGACAGATACAACTGTGAGCATGGAGTCAATGTTGGCAGTGATAGACAGATACAGCTGTGAGCATGGAGTCAATGTTGGCAGTGACAGACAGACACAGCTGTGAGCATGGAGTCAATGTTGGCAGTGACAGACAGACACAGCTGTAAGCATGGAGTCAATGTTAGCAGTGACAGACAGATACATCTGTGAGCATGGAGTCAATGTTGGCAGTGATAGACACAGCTGTGAGCATGGAGTCAATGTTGGCAGTGACAGATAGACACAGCTGTGAGCATGGAGGCAATGTTGGCAGTGACAGATAGACACAGCTGTGAGCATGGAGTCAATGTTGGCAGTGATAGACAGATACAGCTGTAAGCATGGAGTCAATGTTGGCAGTGATAGACAGATACAGCTGTGAGCATGGAGTCAATGTTGGCAGTGATAGACAGACACAGCTGTGAGCATGGAGTCAATGTTGGCAGTGACAGACAGACACAGCTGTGAGCATGGAGTCAATGTTGGCAGTGACAGATAGACACAGCTGTGAGCATGGAGTCAATGATGGCAGTGATAGACAGACACAGCTGTGAGCATGGAGTCAATGTTGGCAGTGACAGACAGATACAGCTGTGAGCATGGAGTCAATGTTGGCAGTGATAGACAGACACAGCTGTAAGCATGGAGTCAATGTTGGCAGTGATAGACAGATACAGCTGTGAGCAGACAGCTGTTTTCGGTGACAGGCATCATATATGATACTGTTTCCATGACATAAATGACATCTAAGATGAAGTAAACTGTTGCCTTCCACAACACAAATGACATCAAAGAGAAAGGAAACTGTTTCCTTCCACAACATATGTGACACCAAAGATAAGGGATACTGTTTTCTTCCACAACATAATGACATCAAAGATAAGGGATACTGTTTTCTTCCACAACATATATGACATCAAAGATAAGGGATACTGTTTTCTTCCACAACATATATGACATCAAAGATAAGGGATACTGTTTTCTTCCACAACATAATGAAATCAAAGAGGAAGGATAATGTTTTCTTCCACAACATATATGATAACAACGATGAAGGAAACTGTTTCCTTCCATAATATATATGACATGGAAGTGGAAGCAAACTGTTTACTTCTACAACATATATGACATCAAAGAGAAAGGATATGGTTTTCTTCCACAACATAATGACATCAAAGAGGAAGGAAACTGTTTCCTTCCACAACATGTAGGACAACAAAGATGAAGGATATTGTTTCCTCTAACAACATATATGACTCAGATAGATAACAAACGCTACTACAAGTATGAAAGACAGCTCTACAATGTTTGTGCAAGATCTTTGTCTCTCTATGTTTTCTGTCTGTCTGTTTGTCTATCTATCTCATAGAGAACACTAGATTTCTAAGATCACCCAGCAATGCATGCTCTAACACCAGCTACAGCCTAGCTTACCCAAGTGTCCATCAGAAGGGGGAGTTCGCATCAACAGCCGGCCTGGTTGAGACAAGATGCTGGAAATTCCTCTCATCTGTGAACAGACAGGGCATCACAAGTCACTGGTCACTCAATAGTAAACAGAGAGGGTATCACAAGTCACTGGTCATCCAATAGTGAACAGAGAGGGTATCACAAGTCACTGGTCATCAAATGATGAACAGAGATGATATCACAAGTCACTGGTCATCCAATGGTAAACAGAGAGGGTCTCACAAGTCACTGGTGATCCAATAGTAAACAGAGGGGTATCACAAGTCACTGGTCATCCAATAGTAAACAGAGAGGGTATCACAAGTCACTGGTCACTCAATAGTAAACATACAGGGTATCACAAGTCACTGGTCATCCAATAGTAAACATACAGGGTATCACAAGTCACTGGTCATCCAATAGTAAACAGAGAGCGTATCACAAGTCACTGGTCATCCAATAGTAAACAGAGAGGGTATCACAAGTCACTGGTCATCCAATAGTAAACAGACAGGGTATCATAAGTCACTGGTAACTCAATCGTAAACATACAGGGTATCACAAGTAATTGGTCATCCAATAGTGAACAGAGAGGGTATCACAAGTCACTGGTCATCAAATGATGAACAGAGATGATATCACAAGTCACTGGTCATCCAATAGTAAACAGAAAGGGTATCACACGTCACTGTTCATCCAATAGTGGACAGAGAGGGTACCACAAGTCACTGGTCACCCGATGGTAAACAGAGAGGGTATAACAAGTCATTAGTCACCCAATAGTAATCAGAGAGAGCATCATAAGTCACTGGTCATCCAATGGTGGACAGAAAGGGTATCACAAGTCATCAGTCACCCAATGGTGGACAGAGAGGGTATCACAAGTTATCAGTTCCTCCAATGGTGGACACACAGGGTATCTAAAGTCATCAGTTTCTCCAATGGCGGACATACAGGGTATCACATGTCACTGGTCATCCAATGGTGGACAGAGAGGGTATCACAAGTCACTGGTCACCCAGTGGTGGACAGAAAGGATATCACAAGTCACTGGTCACCCAATGGTGGACAGAAAGAGTATCACAAGTCACTGGTCACCCAATGGTAAACAGAGAGGGTATCACAAGTCACTGGTCACCCAATGGTAAACAGAGAGGGTATCACAAGTCATTAGTCACCTAATGGTAAACAGAGAGGGTATCACAAGTCACTGGTAACCCAATGGTGGACAGAGAGGGTACCACAAGTCACTGGTCACCCAATGGTAAACAGAGAGGGTACCACAAGTCACTGGTCACCCAATGGTAAACAGAGATGTTATCACAAGTCATTAGTCACCTAATGGTAAACAGAGAGGGTATCACAAGTCCCTGGTAATCCAATGGTAAACAGAGAGGGTATCACAAATCACTGGTCATCCAATGGTAAACAGAGAGAGTATAACAAGTCACTGGTCATCCAATGGTGGACAGAGATGAAGTCACCAGTCACCCAGTGGTGGACAGAGAGGGTATCACAAGTCACCGGTCACCCAGTGGTGGACAGAGAGGGTATCACAAGACATCAGTCACCCAGTGGTGGACAGAGAGGGTATCAAAAGTCACCAGTCACCAAATGGTGGACAGAGAGGGTATCACAAGACATCAGTCACCAAATGGTGGACAGAGAGGGTATCACAAGACATCAGTCACCAAATGGTGGACAGAGAGGGTATCACAAGTCACTGGTCACCCAGTGGTGGACAGAGAGGGTATCACAAGTCACCGGTCACCCAGTGGTAAACAGAGAGGGTATCACAAGTCACCGGTCACCCAGGGGTAAACAGAGAGGGTATCACAAGTCACCGGTCACCAAATGGTGGACAGAGAGGGTATCACAAGACATCAGTCACCCAGTGGTGGACAGAGAGGGTATCACAAGACATCAGTCACCAAATGGTGGACAGAGAGGGTATCACAAGTCACCGGTCACCAAATGGTGGACAGAGAGGGTATCACAAGACATCAGTCACCAAATGGTGGACAGAGAGGGTATCACAAGACATCAGTCACCCAGTGGTGGACAGAGAGGGTATCACAAGTCACCGGTCACCAAATGGTGGACAGAGAGGGTATCACAAGACATCAGTCACCAAATGGTGGACAGAGAGGGTATCACAAGTCACCAGTCACCAAATGGTGGACAGAGAGGGTATCACAAGACATCAGTCACCCAGTGGTGGACAGAGAGGGTATCACAAGTCACCGGTCACCAAATGGTGGACAGAGAGGGTATCACAAGACATCAGTCACCAAATGGTGGACAGAGAGGGTATCACAAGTCACCGGTCACCAAATGGTGGACAGAGAAGGTATCACAAGTCACCGGTCACCAAATGGTGGACAGAGAGGGTATCACAAGACATCAGTCACCCAATGGTGGACAGAGAGGGTATCACAAGTCACCGGTCACCCAGTGGTGGACAGAGAGGGTATCACAAGTCACCGGTCACCCAGTGGTGGACAGAACATTCAGGTGATCTCATGGCAGATAAGCTTTACAAGATGACCTCTACAACAGACATGAGATACAAACTCACTCAATAGCAGCCACACTCTGTTTCATGTTACAAAATGACAAACACACACATACACACCCACACATAAACACCCACACATACACACCCACACATAAACACCCACACATACACACCCACACATACACACCCACACATAAACACCCACACATACACACCCACACATACACACCCACACATACACATGTCTGACATGCATATATTTTCTAACAGAATCAATGTTATATACATTATAGTCAGCAAACAGACTCATAAACAGACAGGATCACAAATATGTATTCAACAGAGATGACAATATAGAAACACAAGGTTCAGTAAAAAAGCACATAGTGCAGTAGACACAGAGTTCAGTAGACACAGGGTTCAGTAGACACAAAGTTCAGTAGACACAGAGTTCAGTAGACACAGAATTCAGTAGACACAGAGTTCAGGAGACACAGAGTTCAGTAGACACAGAGTTCAGTAGACACAGAGTTCAGTAGACAATGAGTACAGTTAGACAGACACAAAGTACAGCAGACAGACACAGAGTGCAGCAGACAGACACAGAGTACAGCAGACAGACACAGAGTACAGTTAGACAGACACAGAGTACAGCAGACAGGCACAGAGTGCAGCAGACACAGAGTGGAGCAGATAGACAAACACAGCACAGCAGACAAACAGACAGAGAGTACAGCAGACAGACAGACAAAGAGTACAGTAAACAGACACAGAGTACAGTAGACAGACACAGAGTAGAGTGGACAGGCACAGAGTACAGTAGACAGACAGATATACAGCACAGTAGACACACATTATATTAGACAGACAGAGAGTACAGCAGACAGACAGACAAAGAGTACAGTAAACAGACGCAGAATACAGTAGACAGACAGACACACAGTACACTAGACAGACAGACACAGAGTAGAGTGGACAGGTACAGAGTACAGTAGACAGACAGATATACAGCACAGTAGACACATATTATATTAGACAGACAGAGACTACAGTAGATAGATCATATAGTCGACAAATTTAAAGTACAGTAGACAAACAGACAGTACATTAGACTTAGGGTACAGTAGACAGACAGAAAGACAGAAGACAGACAGAACATAAGTAGAAAATTACAAAGTACAGTAGACGGACAGAGAGTACATTATACAGTACATTCATTACTTACATTTCTGTGTTGTGCTGAACCACAGTTCCTGTGTGACCAACAACAAACAATGAAATATCACTTTACTTTGACACAGGTTACAAATCCCTGCATATGTGCACAGGTCACACAACACTGCATAAGTACACAGGTCACACAACACTGCATAAGTACACAGGTCACACAACACTGCATAAGTACACAGGTCACACAACACTGCATAAGTACACAGGTCACACAACACTGCACATGTACATAGATCACATCACTAAATACAATTGCAATGTCTGAGTTTACATATTGACTACTGTCACACATGACCACTAGCACTGTCTGTGTTTACTTCCTGACTGCTGCCACACATGACAACTAGCACTGTCTGTGTTTACTTACTGACTCCTGCCACACATGACCACTAGCACTGTCTGTGTTTACTTACTGACTCCTGCCACACATGACCACTAGCACTGTCTGTGTTTACTTACTGACTCCTGCCACACATGACCACTAGCACTGTCTGTGTTTACTTACTGACTCCTGCCACACATGACCACTAGCACTGTCTGTGTTTACTTACTGACTCCTGCCACACATGACCACTAGCACTGTCTGTGTTTACTTACTGACTCCTGCCAAACTGTAGGCCCTGGCCTGGGGGACCTGAAAGAAATCACAGACAAACCTGGATTGAAACACTTAGCGGCCATGACAGCGTTGTCCATCATCACATGTCTTGACTGTCTCCATGGAACACAGACTGACAGTCATGACAGCGTTGTCCATCATCACATGTCTTGACTGTCTACATGGAACAGAGACTGACAGTCATGACAGCGTAGTTCATCATCACATGTCTTGACTGTCTACACGGAACGCAGACTGGCAGTCATGACAGCGTTGTCCATCATCACATGTCTTGACTGTCTACATGGAACACAGACTGGCAGTCATGACAGCATTGTCCATCATCACATGTCTTGACTGTCTCCATGGAACACAGACTGGCAGTCATGACAGCGTTGTCCATCATCACATGTCTTGTCTGTCTACATGGAACAGAGACTGGCAGTCATGACAGCGCCGCCCATCATCACATGTCTTGTCTGTCTACATGGAACACAGACTGGCAGTCATGACAGCGTTGTCCATCATCACATGTCTTGACTGTCTCCATGGAACAGAGACTGACAGTCATGACAGTGTTGTCCATCATCACATGTCTTGACTGTCTACATGGAACACAGACTGGCAGTCATGACAGCGTAGTTCATCATCACATGTCTTGTCTGTCTACATGGAACAGAGACTGACAGTCATGACAGCGTTGTCCATCATCACATGTCTTGTCTGTCTACATGGAACAGAGACTGGCAGTTATGACAGCGTTGTCCATCATCACATGTCTTGTCTGTCTACATGGAACACAGACTGGCAGTCATGACAGCGTTGTCCATCATCACATGTCTTGTCTGTCTACATGGAACAGAGACTGGCAGTCATGACAGCGCCGCCCATCATCACATGTCTTGTCTGTCTACATGGAACACAGACTGGCAGTCATGACAGCGTTGTCCATCATCACATGTCTTGTCTGTCTACATGGAACAGAGACTGACAGTCATGACAGCGTAGTCCATCATCACATGTCTTGTCTGTCTACATGGAACAGAGACTGGCAGTCATGACAGCGTTGTCCATCATCACATGTCTTGTCTGTCTCCATGGAACAGAGACTGACAGTCATGACAGCGTTGTCCATCATCACATGTCTTGTCTGTCTATATGGAACACAGACTGACAGTCATGACAGCGTTGTCCATCATCACATGTCTTGTCTGTCTACATGGAACACAGACTGGCAGTCATGACAGCATTGTCCATCGTCACATGTCTTGACTGTCTACATGGAACACAGACTGACAGTCATGACAGCGTTGTCCATCATCACATGTCTTGACTGTCTCCATGGAACACAGACTGACAGTCATGACAGCGCCGCCCATCATCACATGTCTTGTCTGTCTACATGGAATACAGACTGGCAGTCATGACAGCGCCGCCCATCATCACATGTCTTGTCTGTCTACATGGAACACAGACTGGCAGTCATGACAGCGTAGTTCATCATCACATGTCTTGTCTGTCTACATGGAACAGAGACTGACAGTCATGACAGCGTTGTCCATCATCACATGTCTTGACTGTCTCCATGGAACACAGACTGACAGTCATGACAGCGTTGTCCATCATTGTCCTACATCAGAGATGACAGTCATGTCATTGACATGTCTTACATGGACACGGAACGAGACTGGCAGTCATGACAGCGTTAGTTCATCATCACATGTCTTGACTGTCTACACGGAACACAGACTGGCAGTCATGACAGCGTTGTCCATCATCACATGTCTTGACTGTCTACATGGAACACAGACTGACAGCTGTCCATCATCACAGCGTCTGTCCATGGCATCACATGTCATTGTCTTGTCTGTCTACATGGAACACAGACTGGCAGTCATGACAGCGTTGTCCGTAGTTCATCATCACATGTCTTGACTGTCTACACGGAACGCAGACTGGCAGTCATGACAGCGTTGTCCATCATCACATGTCTTGACTGTCTACATGGAACACAGACTGGCTGTCATGACTCTCCTCTGACTTCTGGCCACAACTGAACTGTACTACTCCAATGTCTATAGCTTATTCTATGGTGTGTCTCTGTGATTATCTGGTCTCCCTGCTCTTGCCTTCCTACTCAGGTTCCAGTTCAATACTAACAGTGTTTTGGGGCTAGATTTGACCACCACACAGACTCTGCCAGCACCTGCTTTCACTAGTTGTTGCTTGGCTTCTCTCTAGAAGAAACATGTTATCACAGTTACCTTAGTCACCTCACTGGAGACCCACCTCAGTCACTTTACTGGAGACCCACCTCAGATCACCTCACTGGAGATGCACCTCAGTCACATCACTGGAGACCCACCTCAGTCACTTTACTGGAGACCCACCTCAGTCACTTTACTGGAGACCCACCTCAGTCACTTTACTGGAGACCCCCCCCCTCCTCAGTCACTTTACTAGAGACCCATTTCAGTCACTTTACTGGAGACCCACCTCAGTCACTTTAATGGAGACCCACCTCGGTCGCTTTACTGGAGACCCACCTCAGTTACTTTACTAGAGACCCACCTCAGTCACCTCACTGGAGACCCACCTCAGTCACCTCACTGGAGACCCACCTCAGTCACCTCATTGGAGATCCACCTCAGTCACCTCACTGGAGACCCACCTCAGTCACCTCACTGGAGACCCATCTCAGCCACCTCACTGGAGACACACCTCAGTCACCTCACTGGAGACCCACCACAGTCACCTCACTGGAGACCAACCTCAGTCACCTCACTGGAGACACACCTCAGTCACCTCACTGGAGACCCACCTCAGTCACCTCACTGGAGACCAGCCTCAGTCACCTCACTGGAGACACACCTCAGTCACCTCACTGGAGACCCACTTCAGTCACCTCACTGGAGACCAACCTCAGTCACCTCACTGGAGACCCACCTCAGTCACTTTACTAGAGACCCACCTCAGTAACCTCACTGCAGACACACCTGAGTCACCTCACTGGAGACCCACCTTACCACAATAAGAACTAAGGAAACCACCTTTTACATTCTGATCTTTGTTTTAACAATCAAATGAGACTTTCATCAAACAAATGACAATAGCTACACTGAATGATCAAATGTACATACATTTAATCCAAGTCTGTCACTTACTGTCATTAACTTGAAAAGTAAAGAGACAGTTGACAACAGGCAATAAGATTTTGCTGAGGCATTGAGAAAACAAACAGACATAAATTAGCCCAGTTGTGATAGACATAGAAAGAATAGGACAATGGACAGCGATAGACACACACTATCAAAGCTGCACAAATATCTGACATATCAACAATGTTTACTTACAGGAAAACTCACAGAGACAGAGACACACAGTAAAAGCTGCACAAACAGATAACACAGATAACAAAGCTTACTGACAGGAAAACTGACAGAGACAGAGAAACACACAGATAACACAGTTAACAAAGCTTACTTACAGGAGAATGGACAGAGACATAGAAACACACAGATAACAAAGCTTACTTGCAGGAGAATGGACAGAGGCAGAGAAACAAACAGATAACACAGTTAACAAAGCTTACTTACAGGAGAATGGACAGAGACAGAGAAACACACAGATAACAAAGCTTACTTACAGGACAATAGACAGAGACACAAACAGATAACACAGATAACAAAGCTTACTTACAGGAGAATGGACAGAGGCAGAGAAACACACAGATAACACAGTTAACAAAGCTTACTTACAAGTGAATGAACTGGGTGAGACCCCGGCTCTAGAAGTGGACCTGAAACCATTTCAAGCACAGGTCAAGGTCAGTACACAGGTCAAGGTCAGTACACAGGTCAAGGCCAGCTCTAGTATACAGTCTGAGGGATCAGATTCTACTTCTTGTTCAGGGGCTTTTAACTCTGGCAGAAAGTTGTGCCGGTTCATCCACTTCTTGACTTCAGTCTTTTCCCAAAACTTGAGTGTTGTATGCACATTTGTTTTACAAATCTGGCTTATTAGTATGCAGACTGTTGGTTCCTTGCCTCTCAGGCAGATGCACTCAGACTTTAAAGGAAACTCCTAACTAGTTGTCTCTTAAGAAATGCTTCTTGGGAAGGAAGTGGTCTATCTTTGTTTTCAGCTGACTAAAGCCCCAGAACCCCCACGGGAAGATCAGAATCTAGGACTGGAGATAACTACCTGTCTGGAGGTGGTTGGATATGAGTGGGTCGACTACCACGGGAAGATCAGAATCTAGGACTGGAGATAACTACCTGTCTGGAGGTGGTTGGATATGAGTGGGTCGACTACCACGGGGAGATCACTACCTGTCTGGAGGTGGTTGGATATGAGTGGGTCAACTACCACGGGAAGATCAGAATCTAGGACTGGAGATAACTACCTGTCTGGAGGTGGTTGGATATGAGTGGGTCGACTACCATGGGGAAGATCAGAATCTAGGACTGGAAATAACTACCTGTCTGGAGGTGGTTGGATATGAGTGGGTCAACTACCATGGGAAGATCAGAATTTAGGACTGGAAATAACCACCTGTCTGGAGGTGGTTGGATATGAGTGGGTCGACTACCATGGGAAGATCAGAATTTAGGACTGGAAATAACCACCTGTCTGGAGGTGGTTGGATATGAGTGGGTCGACTACCATGGGAAGATCAGAATTTAGGACTGGAAATAACCACCTGTCTGGAGGTGGTTGGATATGAGTGGGTCGACTACCATGCAGCACTCACGAACCAAGCAATGCAGGCCAGCAGACTGGCACCTTTAAACTCAAATAATTCCAGCACCCACTGAATACCACTGCTGCGTAAGGTGTATGGGGCTGCAGAGACCAACCAACAATTGATACATACACCCCCACATGTGGGACATAAGCATGTCCTTTACCTTACAGCACATTGGACACTGCTGCCTGTTTCAACATGTAATACTACCACTTTGTGGAAGTACACAGTCATACACTTTCACATGTGGGAACACAAGCATCTGCAACAATGTACATACACACCTTCAGAATGTGGGGCACAAGCATGCCTACAACATGTACATACACTATGTGGAACATGTGGGACACAAGCATGCCTGCAACATGTACATACACCCCCACATGTGGGACACAAGCATGCCTACAACATGTACATACACTACCACATGTGGGACACAAGCATGCCTACAACATGTACATACACCCCCCACATGTGGGACACAAGCATCTACAACATGTGTACATACACTACCACATGTGGGACACAAGCATGCCTACAACATGTACATACACCCCCCACATGTGGGCACTACAACATGTACATACACTCCCACTGTGGGACCGCAAGCATGTCTACAACATGTACATACACCCCCACATGTGGGACACCCTACAACATGTGGGGACACAAGCATGTCTACAACATGCATACATACACAACTACCACATGTGGGACACAAGCATGCCTACAACATGTACATACACCCCCACATGTGGGACACAAGCATGCCTACAACATGTACATACACCCCCCACATGTGGGACGCAAGCATGCCTACAACATGTACATACACTCCCACATGTAGGACGCAAGCATGCCTACAACATGTACATACACTACCACATGTGGGACACAAGCATGCCTACAACATGTACATACACTACCACATGTGGGACACAAGCATGCCTACAACATGTACATACACTACCACATGTGGGACACAAGCATGCCTACAACATGTACATACACTACCACATGTGAGGACACAAGCATGCCTACAACATGTACATACACTACCACATGTGGGACACAAGCATGCCTACAACATGTACATACACTACCACATGTGGGACACAACATGCCTACAACATGTACATACACTACCACATGTGGGACACAAGCATGCCTACAACATGTACATACACTACCACATGTGAGACACAAGCATGCCTACAACATGTACATACACTACCACATGTGGGACACAAGCATGTCTACAACATGTACATACACCCCTACATGTGGGACACAAACATGCCTACAACATGTACATACACTACCACATGTGAGACACAAGCATGCCTACAACATGTACATACACTACCACATGTGAGACACAAGCCTACATGCTCTACATGTACATACACTACCACATGTGAGACACAAGCATGCCTACAACATGTACATACACTACCACATGTGAGACACAAGCATGCCTACAACATGTACATACACTACCACATGTGGGACACAAGCATGCCTACAACATGTACATACACCCCCCACATGTGGGACACAAGCATGCCTACAACATGTACATACACTACCACATGTGCATGTCTACAACATGTACATACACTACCACATGTGAGACACAAGCATGCCTACAACATGTACATACACTACCACATGTGAGACACAAGCATGCCTACAACATGTACATACACTACCACATGTGGGACACAAGCATGCCTACAACATGTACATACACTACCACATGTGGGACACAAGCATGCCTACAACATGTACATACACTACCACATGTGGGACACAAAGTACATACACTACCACATGTGGGAACATGTACATGTACATACACACTACCACATGTGGGACACAAGCATGCCTACAACATGTACATACACTACCACATGTGGACACAAGCATGCCTACAATACACTACCACATGTGGGACACAAGCATGCCTACAACATGTACATACACTACCACATGTGGGACACAAGCATGCCTACAACATGTACATACACTACCACATGTGGGACACAAGCATGTCTACAACATGTACATACACTACCACATGTGAGACACAAGCATGCCTACAACATGTACATACACCCCTACATGTGGGACACAAGCATGCCTACAACATGTACATACACTACCACATGTGGGACACAAGCATGCCTACAACATGTACATACACTACCACATGTGGGACACAAGCATGCCTACAACATGTACATACACCCCCCACATGTGAGACACAAGCATGCCTACAACATGTACATACACTACCACATGTGGGACACAAGCATGTCTACAACATGTACATACACCCCCCACATGTGGGACACAAGCATGTCTACAACATGCACATACACTACCACATGTGGAAAGCATGCCTACAACATGTACATACACTCCCCACATGTGGGACACAAGCATGTCTACAACATGTACATACACTACCACATGTGGAAAGCATGCCTACAACATGTACATACACTCCCACATGTGGGACACAAGCATGCCTACAACATGTACATACACCCCCAAAAGTGGACACAAGCATGCCTACAACATGTACATACACTCCCACATGTGGGACACAAGCATGCCTACAACATGTACATACACCCCCACATGTGGGACACAAGCATGCCTACAACATGTACATACACTACCACATGTGGGACACAAGCATGCCTACAACATGTACATACACTACCACATGTGGGACACAAGCATGCCTACAACATGTACATACACTACCACATGTGGGACACAAGCATGCCTACAACATGTACATACACTACCACATGTGGGACACAAGCATGCCTACAACATGTACATACACTACCACATGTGGGACACAAGCATGCCTACAACATGTACATACACTACCACATGTGGGACACAAGCATGCCTACAACATGTACATACACTACCACATGTGGGACACAAGCATGCCTACAACATGTACATACACTACTACATGTGGGACACAAGCATGCCTACAACATGTACATACACTACCACATGTGGGACACAAGCATGCCTACAACATGTACATACACTACCACATGTGGGACACAAGCATGTCTACAACATGTACATACACTACCACATGTGAGACACAAGCATGCCTACAACATGTACATACACTCCCACATGTGGGACACAAGCATGCCTACAACATGTACATACACTACCACATGTGAGACACAAGCATGCCTACAACATGTACATACACTACCACATGTGAGACACAAGCATGCCTACAACATGTACATACACTACCACATGTGGGACACAAGCATGCCTACAACATGTACATACACTACCACATGTGAGACACAAGCATGCCTACAACATGTACATACACCACATGTGAGACACAACCACACATGTGTGAGACACAAGCATGTCTACAACATGTACATACACTACCACATGTGGGACACAAGCATGCCTACAACATGTACATACACTCCCACATGTAGGACGCAAGCATGCCTACAACATGTACATACACTACCACATGTGGGACACAAGCATGCCTACAACATGTACATACACTACCACATGTGGGACACAAGCATGCCTACAACATGTACATACACCCCCACATGTGGGACACAAGCAGCATGCCTACAACACATGTACATACACCCCCACATGTGGGACACAAGCATGCCTACAACATGTACATACACTACCACATGTGGGACACAAGCATGCCTACAACATGTACATACACTACCACATGTGGGACACAAGCATGCCTACAACATGTACATACACTACCACATGTGGGACACAAGCATGCCTACAACATGTACATACACTACCACATGTGGGACACAAGCATGCCTACAACATGTACATACACTACCACATGTGAGACACAAACATGCCTACAACATGTACATACACTACCACATGTGAGACACAAGCATGCCTACAACATGTACATACACTACCACATGTGGGACACAAGCATGCCTACAACATGTACATACACTACCACATGTGAGACACAAGCATGCCTACAACATGTACATACACTACCACATGTGAGACACAAACATGCCTACAACATGTACATACACTACCACATGTGGGACACAAGCATGCCTACAACATGTACATACACTACCACATGTGGGACAAGCATGCCTACAAAGTACATACACTACAACATGTGGGACACATACACTACAACATGTACACTACCACATGTGAGACACCACAGACACAAACATGCCTACAACATGTACATACACTACCACATGTGGACACAAGCATGCCTACAACATGTACATACACTCCCACAAGACACAAGCATGCCTACAACATGTACATACACCCCCACATGTGGAGACACAAGCATGCCTACAACATGTACATACACTACCACATGTGGGACACAAGCATGCCTACAACATGTACATACACTACCACATGTGGGACACAAGCATGCCTACAACATGTACATACACTACCACATGTGGGACACAAGCATGCCTACACATGTACATACACTACCACATGTGGGACACAAGCATGCCTACAACATGTACATACACTACCACATGTGTGGGACACAAGCATGCCTACAACATGTACATACACTACCACATGTGGGACACAAGCATGCCTACAACATGTACATACACTACCACATGTGTACATGCCTACAACATGTACATACACTACCACATGTGAGACACAAGCATGCCTACAACATGTACATACACTACCACATGTGGGACACAACAGCATGCCATGTGAAGACACAACATGTGCAACACATACACTACCACATGTGGGACAC